CCCCTCCAGACCCCCCCCCCCCCCCCTTTTAGGTTTTGTGTGTGTGCAGTTTTAGGGAATTTAGGCATGGCCAACCTTAGGTACATCAAAGGAATCAAATGCCTGGAGTGACAAATTCTAGAGGCGTCATTTTGATCGTTAAAAGAAGAAAAAAAAAGGAAAATAATTTTTTTTTTTTAATGAAATTTAAAAAAAAAAGAATTACTAATAAAAAAAAAATTAATTTTTTTAAATAAAAAAATTATCCATGGAGTTCAAGGAAAATAAGTATAATAAATTGCATTATAAAACTTATTTTTCCGTGAATTTAGTGTTCGGTAATTGGTCCATTTTCTTTTACGTGGATGAAGGGTATAGGACCCAAACTTTTTAATAGAAATAATTGAACATGCAAATAAAAATTTGGGAAACATGTAACTGCAAACATCAAACTGTTTTTTTTTTTTTAAATAGTGTCATGCTTATTTTTTTCATTGATAGACAACAATACTTTGAATTAGAAGACTAATCATTATTAAGAATTAAGAGTTTTTAAACATAGGGTTTGTTTATCATTATGTCACATTGCTATTTTTTGTAAAACTTTTTATGGAGAAATCTGTGTTTAATTTTAAGCGATATTTTTCTTGGTTACAGAAATCACGCAAATGAAAAATGTTTTACAAATGCTTTGATTATAAATTTATTTTTTTCCCAAGTGGATACCAATAGGAATGTGACGGAATGCATCTTGAATCTTGCTGTCCGCATTGCAGTTGTTATTTTGTTTTTACTGTTGTTTGTTTGCTGGAGAAGGCTTCTTGCCGACATGTTCTTTGTGTTCCCCTTTCAGGTTTTCCCATGCTTTGTTTTGCTCATAACAATTGATTTGTTGTTAAAAAAAAATTAGTACAACCATATTTAAAATGACACGCCAACCATCAACTAGAAGACAACCACTGACAGGCCAACCATCAACAACATATTATCACAGAACACAGCTGAATAGTCTTATCAAGAATCAATTTAATATTTACAAATAAACCTTTGACATAAAATATACAAATACTTGTGTTACAATTAACACATGTGACAATAGTAAACAATTTACATACAAAATAATTGTTGAAATATATTAATCACCAACAAATGAATAATTTGCTCATTCTTAAGTTATGTTCTGTTAAGACAATTGTATTTGTAATCAAGTGAAGGAATGATGTACCGGTATCTGTTTTAGGTACACATTCCTGGTACAAGATTCCTACTTAAAGTAAGAAGTAGTAAGAATCTTATCCATCGTCAAGTAGACATTCTGGTAGCTCTAGCAATCAAAGCTAATAGCATCCAGTAGCTAGATGTATCATTCTGGTAGCTCTAGCAATCAAAGCTAATAGCATCCAGTAGCTAGATGTATCATTCTGGTAGCTCTAGCAATCAAAGCTAATAGCATCCAGTAGCTAGATGTATCATTCTGGTAGCTCTAGCAATCAAAGCTAATAGCATCCAGTAGCTAGATGTATCATTCTGGTAGCTCTAGCAATCAAAGCTAATAGCATCCAGTAGCTAGATGTATCATTCTGGTAGCTCTAGCAATCAAAGCTAATAGCATCCAGTAGCTAGATGTATCATTAGAGCAAGGGGTCGGTAACCTTTTTTTGAGTTAGGAGCCACTTGTATACTTTATATCTGCTAAGACGGTATATTTGAGCCTCAGATCATTACAGGACATTAAAACAACAGAGCCACATCTTCTCCTTCCACAGGGTACATGCGGCTCCAGAGCCCCCAGGTTGCAGGTCACTTGGCCAGAGCAACATTAAAACAAACTAATTTGGCACTGTAAGTGGTCTCCATTCGTAGTGAGAAAATGGATTCATTTCAAGAAGACTTGCTCTATATTTGGGAAGGTAGAGTAAAATACAAAGTTAAGTGGCAAAATGTGTGGGAAGTTGAAGAGATGTCCAGACATCAAAGGGAAGTATGAACATTATGGAGTACACATTGCATTCAATAAAAAGTAAACAAATGAAATTGTTGAAAGGGAAGACTGCTGAGGCTGGGTTATGACTAAGTTGGTGCAAGTGGCATTGTATCATTAAATACAATGCTTGAGTAAGATCCACACACACACCCCCCACGACCTCATAAACACAACCTCTTCACCTGACCAAGTCAGGGGGGATTAGTCATCAGAGGCATAAAAAACAGGAGTTTTAGATGAGAATTATTATGTCCCCTGATCAGTTTCTTCACTGAATAGTTCCTTCCACCAGATGAAATGCAATTAAGCCATGCTAAAAGAAAATACTGTTTACTAGTTTTGTAATACAAAGAATGTTACCACTAAAAAATGTTCCAGGGAAAAAAATGTGGCGCCCTACTTTGAACAGTTGTTTGGTACGGTACATAATTTAACAGGCCACCTTGTTGGACAAATTGATGATTTTTGTTGCAATGGCAACATGCTGTGTATTGTTATTGGGACATCATCCGAGGTCCAAGGGATGCCTGCGCTAGCATCTGTATGGCCTGAATGTCTGCTTCTGTTAGCGTCTCTCCAGGCAGACATTCTACATGATACTGGACGCTGTCCTGCCCTGTTTCTATGGCCTGCAGGTGACCCCCGCTGGGCAGCGTGAATGTGGGGAGGGTGACCTCAATGCCCCTCGCCTGATCCTGCGTCGGCTGCTGGTGGTGGATATTCATCGGCTGGCCCTGCTTGTGGTCATCTCCGGGCATGATGATATGTCTGACCTCCACCACACCGTGACTGTTAGGCTGTTCTTCCATCATGACCATAGTGGTGCCCCCTTCTGGGTCAACTTCTTCCACTCTCTGACTCCCCTCTAGTCCGTACACTATAGTCCTCTCTCCATGAACCTGAAACAGTCAGTTTACTTTTTAAAAATTCTAAAAAGGTGGAGCAATTCAATTCTTAAAAATTAATATTTTTTTTGCTTTAAAAAATTCAAAGGCCATTAAACAGTTCATTGGTAAAGTAAGAAATTAAGATAGATGCCTAATACTATTTTATTACTTGAAAATTCTCATTATTGACAACGTTTCATAATTTTATAATTTACAATTCTCATTATTGGCCATGCTGCACAATTTATAATTTACCAAATCTCATTATTGGCCATGCTTCATAATGTATTACTTTACCATTGTCATTATTGGCCATGTTTCATAATTCATAATTCTCATTATTGGCCACGCTGCACAATTTATAATTTACCTAATCTCATTATTGGCCATGCTTCATAATTTATTACTTTACCAATCTCATTAAGGCCATGCTTCATAATTTATTACTTTACCAATCTCATTAAGGCCATGCTTCATAATGTATTACTTTACCATTCTCATTATTGGCCATGTTTCATAATTCATAATTCTCATTATTGGCCATGCTGCACAATTTAAAATTTACCATTCTCATTATTGGCCATGCTGCACAATTTAAAATTTACCATTCTCATTATTGGCCATGTTTCATGATTCATAAGCTCGTTATTTGCCATGCTGCACAATTTAAAATTTACCAATCTCATTATTGGCCATGCTTCATAATTTATTACTTTACCAATCTCATTATTTGCCATGTTTCATAATTTATTACTTTACCAATCTCATTACTGGCCATGTTTCATAATTTATTACTTTACCATTCTCATTATTGGGCCCATTTTATAATTTGTAATTTACCATTCTTATAAAACCTGCCTATGATAATTCGGCACTGAATATCATTCCAACTTTATTTGTTTAGCTCTTTAATGCTCTGAATATCATTCGAACTTTATTTGTTTAGCTCTTTAATGCTAACAAATACAGTAATCAAATTCATTTGATGAATGAAGTTTTTTCAGCACAAAATCCTTCAATGCACGACCAAACACAAGAACACAGCGCTACTAAAAATACGCTACAAAACGATATGATTAATTCATTGCAAAATAATACAATACATTGTATGAGAAACAATGCACTGCAATACAATAGAACAAAGAATCTACAAC